CTCTCTCTCCCCCTCCTTTTCTCTCTCTTAAATCAATAAAGATATATTTAAAAAAAAAAAAAAAGAAAGTGTTGCCCTGGCCGGTTTGGCTCAGTGGCTAGAGCATTGGACTGAAGGGTCCCGGGTTTGATTTCGGCCAAAGGCATGTACCTGGGTGGCAGGCTCCATCCCCAGCCCCGGTCAGGAAGCAACTAGAAGATGTGTCTCTCTCACATCGGTGTGTGCCCCCCCCCTCCACTCTCTCTGAAAAGCAATGGAAAAAATATCCTCAGGTGAGGATTTTTTAAAAAAATGAATAAATAATGTGTTGAATGCACTGCTGACATCCCCAGAACTCCTCTTTGCATAAAATGCCTCATCTTATCCTAACAATTACTTTTTGAAGTTATTGTTGCCACAGAAAGACACTTCTGGTTGAGAGAAATTGAGCAAATTTATCCAAGCTATCTTTTTTGAAAGTGACTTAACAGGAAATCAAACTCTGTTTCTTTTTCATCATACAAGTCAGACAGACTGCATTTTGGAGAAAAGACAGTTCAACAAAAAGGAAAAATAACCACCTGTCAGCCCACCATCCAGAGGAAAATACTATTAATATTTGGATGTATAACCTTGCAGTCTTTTTTTCAATATAATTTTGGTTATTTTTTTTTAATACATCTTTATTGATTTCAGAGAGAGGATGGGAGAGGGAGAGAGAGGGATAGAACCATCAATAATGAGAGAGCCATTGATCGGCTGCCTCCTGCATGCCTCCTGCTGGGAATTGAGCCTGCAGTCCAGGCATGTGCCCTGACCGGGAATCGAACTTCGATCTCCTGGATCATAGGTCGATGCTCAACAGCTGAACCACACCTGCCAGGCTGGTTACTTTTTTAATACAAAAATTGAATCATGCTGTATAAATGCCAGTAGTTTTTAACCTTGTATCAGTAACAAATCCCTTTGAAAATGTGATAACTTTGACCTATCACCTCCTCAGAAAAATGCACATTCTCCCTAAATTCTGTGGATAATTTTAGGGCATTCATGAATTGCATAAAGCCATCCATGGTCATGGATTCCAGGCTAAGAACCCTGCCATACAGATTTCCTTTTCAAAACTAGCTTTTCCACCTACTATGGCCTGTACACTTTTATGCCAATTAATATGTTTCTGACAGCATATTTTTTTAATGGCTGTGTTATGTCCAGCTTTTTGGAGTCCTGTAATTTATAGTAAAATTAAAAGTCAGTGTGCATGATGAATTACCACTGCATTTCATCCTTGGAGCTTCCCATGGAGGTGTTCCCACTATACAGATAAAGCTCAGAGATATTATGTGACAGCCACCAAGTAACAGATCCAGGATTGATGGCAGTCTTCAATTCAGGCCCTCCTTTTTATTGAATCCCTCCTGTGGGAGTTCCCAAATTTGACTAGTGCCACTGTAGGCCACATTGTGGGCCAATCCCTCCCTGGGAGCCTTTTCTCTGAGCCTTCCCATGGGAGAAACTGTACTTTCTCTCCAGGAACTGGGTAAGGATGGCTGGGGTACTCGGTGTGAGAGCAGAGCTTGGAGGACTGTACTGGCATGGCCAGCAGAGGCCTGAATCCAGCTCTAGCTAAATCTAGAGATAGATGGTCCTTCGAGCCTCCCTGCTTTGGTCCTTTCCTACCCAGCCCCACTCCCCTTCTAGGAATCATGTTGTTTGGGCTCAGGCAAGCAGAGGGGGCTAGGCCTTCCCCCTCAGCCTCTTGGGGCCTGGCTGGTTGGGATTTCCCAGCATCGTTCTTGGCAAGGAGAAGGGAGCCGACCGGAAAATGCGATTATTCCAGGGAATTGACTCTGTGACAGCGATGGTGCAGAGAGGCTGGGGGGCTGTGGAGAGGCAGAGGTGAGGAGGGCCCGAGCAGGAGAGGGAGGCACAAGAGACAAAGTGGGTTGACCTGGACCCCAGGGAACAGCCCCTGCTCCCCCACCTATTAGGGATTCCAGGCAGTGGCCTTGAGGACTCCAGAGGGTTAGAGACAGAGAGGGGAAGGAACAGGGAAGCAGAGTGAGGAGGAGACAAGTGGCTCAGAGATGCCCAGCCAGGGCCTACAGGAACAAGGCTGTTACAGGGCCCACACGAATACGCACCACACCCTTCTCTCCCCACCCCACACACACTCAGGACAATCAGTCAGAGCTCACAGAGCTGGGAAGACCCTCACAACAGATTTCTGAATGGGACTGGATGTGTGTTATCCTGGCCTCAGCCTCTTCTACTTGAATATGCCCACTACTGAGTGCTCACTACCTCCCAGGCAACCTGTGCCATCTTTGAGCTACTCTGACTTTAAGAAAGTGTTTCCTTCTCTTAGACTGAAATATACCTCCTGTATTTATATCTACTACCTCAGCCCCACACTGAAGACAACTCTCCTCGGGGAATACTCAGTCTCCCCACATATCTTCCCACCTGTTAGACAAGGAACAGAACCAGACTCAATACTCCAGATGTGCCCTGACCAGCTCAAGGCACAGTGTGGCCGGCACTTCCCTCGATATGTACACTATACTTCTACTAATGCAACCTAAGAGTAGTTTAGGTTTTTTAGTAGCCAGTTCCCATATACTGGTAAGCAGAATAGGAGCATAATTAAGTGCAAGAGCTTTAAAGTCATCAGCTTGGGTTCAAATCCTGGCTCTGCCATTTCCTAGCTGTGTGACCTTAGACAAATAGCTTAACCTCTCTGGGCCCCTCTTTCAGCAGTGAAATCAGCATTTACTAACTGGTATAGAGTCTGTGTTCTAAGCCTCCCTTCGGAAGGGATGCTGTGAAGATGAAGTGGAATAATATGCAGAGGGCACCTAACAGATATCTGGCATAGAATCATCGCTATGCTAATATGAGCCACCGTTGTGATCTCTCACATGCCACGTGGCTCAGGAGAAAATACATGGGCTTTGGGGTGATTCAGGCATGAGCTTAAATGTCAGATACAGCACTTGGCTGGTGGCCTGTGAGTAAGCAACCTTCCTCCAGCCTCAGATCACTCACATAGAGAACAGGGGTAATAATACCTGCCTTTCGATGTTGTTACAGGGATCAGAGGTAGAGTAGAAGCCCCTGGCACCTGGGTACCTGATAATTTCATATATTTGTATTTGCCCAGGTTGAGTTTGTCAACCAAAGTCAGGTCCATGGGCACTCGGGCAATTAACTTTTTGAACCTAAATGTAGGACTTTACAGCAGTCAGGATGGAATCCAAGACATGATCACTGAATGACATCGCTGACTAAAGACCAGGAAGGAGAGACTACACGTAGAGATTAGAGGAGAAAGAAGACGAGGAAGGGGAAACAGTGAAGGATGGAAAGAGAGCAAAAGAGGCAGGAAAATGACCCCTCTGGCCTTGCCTGAAATATTGCAGGAGTTGGGAGATGCTGGGAAACA